AGTTTCAGATATAATAGTCACTTGTATTGGCCGTGAGCAGGAATCGAACTCTGGTCGCCGGGTTCGTAGCGCAGCGTAGCGCTAACAGCTACACTACTGCTCCCATGAGGTACCACACACAGAGAGAGCACACACACACAGCCACACACACAGCACATACACAAACCCACCCAGCACACACAGCACACACACACACACAGCACACACAGCACACACAGCACACACAGCACACACACACACAGCACACACACACAGCACACACACACACAGCACCACACAGCACACAGCACACACAGCACACACACACACAGCACACACCACAGCACACACACACACACAGCACACAGCACACAGCACACACAGCACACAGCACACACAGCACACACACACACACAGCACACACCACACAGCACACACAGCACACACACCACAGCACACACAGCACACAGCACACACACACAGCACACAGCACACACAGCACACAGCACACACAGCACACACACACACACAGCACCACAGCACACAGCACACACAGCACACACACAGCACACACACACACACAGCACACACAGCACACAGCACACACAGCACACACACAGCACACAGCACCACACAGCACACACAGCACACACAGCACACAGCACACACAGCACACACACACAGCACACACACACAGCACACAGACACAGCACACACAGCACACCACACAGCACACACACACAGCACACAGCACACACACACAGCACACACAGCACACACACAGCACACAGCACACACACAGCACACAGCACACACACAGCACAGCACGCACACAGCACACACACACAGCAGTAGCACACACACACACACAGCACACACAGCACACAGCACACACACAGCACATACAGCACACAAAGCACACACACACACAGCACATACAGCACACACACACACAGCACATACAGCACACACAGCACATACAGCACACACTGTTCTAAAACAATTTTCATTGCCACAATTAACTTTATTTTTCAAATGACAATGTAACCAAATAGAAGCCACTCAGGCAGACGTGAACAACTCTAAAACGCAATTCTGCCTTTCATTCAGTCAGATAACATTGAACAAACTGTATAGAATACCTTAAATTTCCATGAGTTAAATATCTTTACCTCATGAACATTTTTAACAGGAGTTATAAGTAATGCAAAGTGGTCTGTTATCATTAAACTTTAAAACAAGTGAATTTTGCCCTTGTTTTACAAGATCTTTCAGAAAGCAATAGTTTGTGTCACATCTACAGCTACATAACATCAACAGTTATAACCAAATCTTATTCAAGAGTTTAATAAAACAAGTGCCATAAGTCCATCATGTTTGCAATAACCACAATACAAGCAGTCAAAATGCAAACAAAAAGAAACAACTCTGATGATGATAATGATATGCACTGTCCTTGAAGTTGATTGGTCCACATCCGAGACAGTACCAGTTGAAAGGGTAAAAACCTACTATATTTTGCCACTGGTAAAGGAGGTCTCATAGTGTAAATTTACCCCGAGCTCTCAATACTCTGATAGTGCGCTGTCTTTGAGTTGTACGCCTTTTGGTGTCATCTGGTCCAACACCAATGGAGACTAGGCTCTAAGAAAGCGTCTCGGGTGTGGACCAATCAACTTCAAGGACAGTGCATATCATTATCATCATCAGAGTTGTTTCTTGTTTGTTTGCATTTTGACTGCTTGTGTTGTGGTTATTGCAAACATGATGCCTTCTATAAAGGTGTCAGTTGTTATACCAGTTGAAAAGGGTAAAAACCTATCACTATTTTGCCACTGGCAAAGGAGATGTCTCATAGTGTAAACGTCAAACCACATTTGGTGAACGAGGCGTGTAACGATGGAACTTCTCCAAAGAGACACGCGACCGAGCCAAGTGTGATTGGGCAACTGCGCCGTGCGGCGCCTTGCGCACGAGCGCGTGAGGTGCACTGCCCCAGCAACGTAGCGGCGCAGAACCCGCCGCCGCTCACCGTCCGTTAGCGTCGTACCATTGCCGGCACGGGGCTTGCAACTACCCGCCCCCCTCTGTTCGCACCCGGGTGCTTCGACCCCTCCGGCGCACCGGCGCAGTTGCACCGCCTGTGCACTCGACGGTAGCTGCGCTGCCGCGAGCGGTGAGCGGTAGACCAGGCAGTGCCGTTCGAGTTCACCCTTCACTTCGCTGCCGGCCGCTGGCGGCACGAACCTCGTGGCCTACGCAGAGATGATTGCACGAGTTGGGCAACTTGCGTGAAGGGTAACTGCGTTGCAGGGCAGCAAGTAGGTGGCCGAGCTAGCGCGTGCTCAACGGGCGTGTTGTCTCCTGCTGAACGTGTTTGTCGTATTGAAACGGCTGCACGCCGTATGGAGCTGGAAATCAAAATTTCCCTGTACAAGAATAGGGGTAAGCCGAATGGGTTGACATGTATGAATGTGTGGCATTTAAATACAATACTCGTTTTTATTAAAGCTGTGTCTGTGTTTGTTCAGGGTGTGCCAGGGTCTCAGGGTCCTATGGGACCTCCTGGTGTGCCTGGACCTCACGTGAAAAGTTAAAGAAAGTGTGCGGTAAATAGTTGATGTCAAAGGTTTCTGGAAATTGTTGACTCCCCCCTCAAAACATATCTTTACCCCCACGTAGTTATATATAGCTACACGCCCTACATACAACAGAGGAAGTAGTATCTATTGATTCTGTAGTTGTCTCGACGGACTGTACAGTAGTATCTACTGAGCCAGTAGTAGCTACTGACTGTGTAGTAGGATTTACTGCATTTCGTATTTTCATTAGAGAATGCACTGAATGTGTAAGTTGTGAATAAATGACGCTGCAGCGACGACAGCCTGACTCGTTCTTAGTTTAATGTCGCATTTAGTCGTCTAGACAAAAGTATCAGCTTAGATGCAATATCACCCTAAGAAAGTTACGTACCCGTTATTTTGGTATGATTTATCCAAGAGATAAACTGCCTCATGTGGCACTCCGCTTGTTTCTACTTATATATACTGTATTAATGTATACTTACATACATTTAATCACGATTATTTCCTGTTCCATCAGCTAAAATTACCATCATATATACAGTGAGGGAAAAAAGTATTTATCCCCTGCTGATTTTGTACGTTTGCCCACTGACAAAGAAATGATCAGTCTATAATTTTAATGGTAGGTTTATTTGAACAGTGAGAGACAGAAAAACAACAACAAAATCCAGAAAAACGCGTCAAAAATGTTATAAATTGATTTGCATTTTAATGAGGGAAATAAGTATTTGACCCCCTCTGCAAAACATGACTTAGTACTTGGTGGCAAAACCCTTGTTGGCAATCACAGAGGTCAGACGTTTCTTGTAGTTGCCCACCAGGTTTGCACATATCTCAGGAGGGATTTTGTCCCACTCCTCTTTGGAGATCTTCTCCAAGTCATTAAGGTTTCGAGGCTGACGTTTGGCAACTCGAACCTTCAGCTCCCTCCACATATTTCTATGGGATTAAGGTCTGGAGACTGGCTAGGCCACTCCAGGACCTTAATGTGCTTCTTCTTGAGCCACTCCTTTGTTGCATTGGCCGTGTGTTTTGGGTCATTGTCATGCTGGAATACCCATCCACGACCCATTTTCAATGCCCTGGCTGAGGGAAGGAGGTTCTCACCCAAGATTTGACGGTACATGGCCCCGTCCATCGTCCCTTTGATGCGGTGAAGTTGTCCTGTCCCCTTAGCAGATAAACACCCCCAAAGCATAATGTTTCCACCTCCATGTATGACGGTGGGGATGGTGTTCTTGGGGTCATACAAGTTAAGGGGGAGGGGGGGGGAGCTTATCAGAATGTGGTAGCCAATGAATGGAACGTATTGGGAGGGGGGGGTGCTAAAAGAGGTGTACGTAGACGTCGACGTGGACGTGTTTGTGCGCAAGCCCCTGTTGGTGCACATGACAGAAGAGAACGAAAATGCCCATGTTGTTTTCACCAGTGTTGGCTGACAATCAAATACGAAAAAGGAGAGTACTGTTAAACGCTGGGGATGTCAACACTCGGTAAAGTAAAATAGTGCCTGTCAGATAAAATGGTCCAAAAATGTGTAGTTAAATCTTTTTTTGCATGGTTAATAACATCTTTCCAATGATTACTAAGTTTGTACCCATCATCACGGTTGAAATTATGTCTGTGTTTGTATATCTGAATGGCTTCGTGTACAAACCTTTGATGGTATCCAGAGGGTTTGCAGAGCACCTTAGTCTCGGAAAAAACAATATATGAGAGCCCATCTGTGAAGGATGTCATCCCTGACTTGCAATACCCTGGAGTCTATAAACTGAGTTGCAGCTGTGGTGATTGTTACATTGGGGAAACGAAACGTCATGTCTCTGATCGTGTCCGCGAGCACAAGCAAGATTTGAAACACGGCAAAATTGAGTCTTCCGCCTTTGCCGATCATTGCTACAACGCGGTGGGCTCTCATGATATTGTTTTTTCCGAGACTAAGGTGCTCTGCAAACCCTCTGGCTACCATCAAAGGTTTGTATACGAGGCCATCCAAATTTACAAACACAGACATAATTTCAACCGTGATGAGGGGTACACACTTAGTAATCATTGGAAATATGTTATTAATCATGCAAAAATATTTAACCACACATTTTTGGACCATCTGCCGCCCTTCCATGCGCACCTTTCCCTGTAAAACACGAGATCATCGAGTCCACGCATTTCCCCCGTGTTCGACGAGGGAAATGCTCGCCGGGGGGGGGGGGGGGGGGACGCTGGGATTCACTGGGAGATGCTGCACTCGGTGCCGGCGACATACAGAACTTGTGGGTCCTCGTGGTCAGCAAATCTGAGTGGGAGAAGCGGCATGTGGTTGGAGGGGCAGAGGTGGTGGTGGGGGGGAGGGGCAGGGCAGGGTGAGCGATGTGGACGAGTCACCGACTCCTCTCTCTCCCATCATGCTGAGATCTCGGTGGCTACTTTGTCCCAGGCTCGGGAGCCGATTGCAGATCTCACTCTTGCAGGGATCCGCCTGGCGCCCCCCCCCCACCCCGTCGGCAATCACGCAGGGTGGCGGTGGGTGGGGTGGAGTGAGGGAGGGGAGTTGAGGGCAACTGCGAGGTGCGGAACGACAGCCGCGCCATCAGGCAGCGACATCCGCTGACAATTTTGTCCGGCCATGATTGTTGTTGCCAGGGGCGAGGCCCATGGGGGCCACGGCCGACAGTCGACGGGGCGAGCGATCGAGCCGGCGGATTAGTCGGGGCCCCAGCTTCCCAGCAAGCCGCCGCCGCCGTCACTTGCACGTGTACTCCTCCGCCCCCTCGCTGCACGTGCTGCAGCGCACGTAGCAGCACCAGCGGAACTCGCACTTGCAATGCCACGAGCGCGTGTACGGCGCGTGTCGTAGCCGCGGCCGCAGCACAGCAGCTCGCAGCCGTCGGCGTGCGGCGACGTGCGGTCGCACGGGCGGCCGCGCGTGCCCACGCTGCCCGTCAGCCGGTCCTCCTCGCAGTAGCTAGGCGAGCTCTCGGTGAACACGAGCTCCGTGTGGAGCGGCTTGCGGTGGCCGCGCGAGCGCCTCGCCTGGAGGAAGGCGGGGTAGCGGTGGCGGTAGCGGCCGGCGTGCACCGGCTCCACGTGGACCGCCTCGTCGTACTTGCGCTTGAGCGCGGAGCCCACCTCGCGGAACTGGGGCAGCGTGGCCCAGCACGTCCTGGTGGTGCACGAGCCCAACACTCCGTGGCACTTGCACACCGGCTTCATCTTCTCCTCCAGCACCTGGCGGCACGGGGGGGGAGAGAGAGACGAGAGGGCAGGAGAGCATCGGGGAGGTAGGTGGGGACAAGTGGGGGGGGGGGGGGAGACAGAAAGACAGAGAGAGACAGAGAGAGACAGAGAGAGACACAGAGAGACAGAGACAGACTTTGACTTTAATAATTTTATTACACCAGCGGCAATTGTGCTGGAGTTTTCCAATATATGAGCCTTTATGGCAACACACAAACATGTAATAAAAGACTCCGTCAGCCACTGCTGGTCTCCGCTTGTCTTCTATTTAGGTTCTTCTCCGCACCCCGCTGGTCTCCTCCACGGACCAGCGTCGTCTCCTCTCGCGTGCCACGCACGCTCCTCCGTTAGCTCCTCTACTCCCGCACTCCGCACCCCGCTGGCCGACGGCGTGCTGAGGACCTTCGGCCACGTGGCCGATGGCGCGGATCTCTCTCTCACCACCCAGCGTGGCTCAGACTCTCAACTTCCACGACTGCCCCGATCTCTTCCGGGCTCCCACTAATATACATTCCCCCCACGTGATCCTGACTCCTCCCCTTCCGGATCGTCAGATCCGGCCTTCCCATAATGCCCCGCTGGCTCCGCCCCCATTCACCTCGCCTCCCATTGGAGCCGAGGTGAACGGTGGCCCCTCCCACACGCCCCGCAGACCAGGCTCCGCCCCCCAATACCCCGGGCCGCGTGATTGGACCAGAGCCCAGCAACCCCATTTACACTATGAGACACCTCCTTTACCAGTGGCAAAATATAGTGATAGGTTTTTACCCTTTCAACTGGTACAAAAACTGACATCATGTTTGCAAGAACCACAAGAACCACAACACAAGCAGTCAAAATGCAAACAAAAAGAAACAACTCTGATGATGATAATGATATGCACTGTCCTTGAAGTTAATTGGTCCGCACTCGAGACAGCTTTCCTTAGCTAAAAATAAGCATTGTGCCGGAAAAATGACGAGGAGAAGAGGTAGGATAATGGGGGGTGGGAAGGGGGGGGGGAGAGAGTGGGGAGGGTGGGGTGATTTTGTTTTCAGCGCCTGCGTTGGATTGGATCTGGAGGAGTGCTTGGTGTGGGGAAATCGCTGGCACCTTGCGCCCGGCGGCGTTGTTGTGCAGGTTCATGAGCGTGCGCGCGCTCCGCTGGACCTCGCGCGCGT